CTTTAAATTGACTGTTGCTTGAAATGGTCTTCAAAATTGTCCAATCTGAAATTCTTCTGTGGAGGCAGAATACCTGAGCCTTCTCATACCACCATTATAAAGGGAAGGGCCTTAAATTGTGTGTTGAAATGTGAAGAGCAGTTACCATACTGAGTTGTTGGGACACTGTGAATATCACTTAAAGACTAGGTACTAAACACTGTGAGTTTTTTTGCCTTAAAAAGTCATCAGTTGAGGCCCTCCCTGGTGGTGCAGCACTGAGAAGCTAAAAGCCACTTCGGCATGAGTTCGATTCCCGCCTGCCCCGAGGTGACCACATGGCGCGGCAGACCTCTCCTGACCCGCCCGCTGCTCCCCTCAGCAGTGTACTTTGTCAGTCGGCCTGTTCTGCTCCCCACTCTGTCTCTGGTGAAGGCTCTCGCCGCCCCTGAGCCTCTGGCCTGTACCCCAGTTTCATATGAACAAATAAATAAATCTTTAAAAAAAAAAAAGATAATTTAAAAATCCCTTTACATTTGGGGTGTCTGAATACATGCACACACACACACACACACTTCTAAACAGCCTGGTCAAAGTAAAACTCTTCAAAAAATAGAAAAAAGGAAACACAGATTAACTATTTTCAAGGGCACAGATCTTAAAATAATCTTGATGCCAATAGACAAGTAAATATACATGATAAAATTAAAAGTCCATCTTATTCATGGCAAGGGGTGAAAAATTTGAAGCATTCACAAACCGAATCCAATACTACTGGTTAGGAAAAAAAAAATCAGAAAAGAATGCACATTGTATTTCTCTTGGAAATATAAACTTGATCAACATTTAAAAGTTTTTAAATGTCTATTAATATAAATCACATTAACAGATTAAACATGAAAATCTATATAGGTACAGGAAAACATAATAAAAGTTAATATGCATGCAGAAGTTCTTCTATTAACTGAGAATAGAAGAACATCTTCTAGGCTTGGTTAACAAAAAAGAAGAGAGAGTATGGCCAGATGAGAAAAAGTTAAAATCAGAAAAGTTAAATGACTTGTTCATATAGCAATTTTAATGGGACAAAAAATGGACTAGACGTTAATTCTCAAAACTTTCCACAATACAATGATGCTGGTGGGGGAGGGGGAGTAATTTCACACAAAATTTGGAAGTGTACAAGATTTATCGTTACATAGATTACATTTTTTTTGAATCTCACATACTCTTTCCAAGTTCTTGTAAAAATCTATTAAACAGTATTAAAGAATTTCTTCCTTGAAATTTTTCCATTTGTTAAAACTTATCTTCAGTTTTCCTAGTTACTAAGGGAAGGGGATACTGTGTTTAAACTCAAAACTTCACATCCTCATACCAAAAACATGCATTGCTTATACTTTGTAACTAAATATGACATTACTAAGAAAGGAGATTTTTAAATAGATCATATATCCTCCAATCTATTTTAACTGATGGAATCTTTTCCTACTTAAATGAAACCTTCCCTACTTATGCTGAACCTTGTTCTCTATTAGCTTGTCACAAAATGAAGTTACCTGTAGCCATCTTTACGTTCTAAAAATGACCAAACATCTCAGGAATATATCTGAAGGTATTATTGAACAAACCAGCTCCCTTTAACTATTATTAAAATAGTAATTTTGATTTTCTCATTAAATAACTTCCTATTGAGTTTGAATAATGTATTCAGCATTAACAAATATCTATTAACTTTCTACTGTGTGCCAGATGTTATGATATGTAACAGATAGCCAACTAGGCAATTTGTCATCATGGTACACAAATCAAAACACAATCGTCTGAATTATTATAAAAATTATTTATTTTCTGCATTGGAAAAGTGCTACACTTACTAATCCTCCCTAGCATGAAAATTGAAACTTTAATTCCATTAGTAGATTTTAGCAGATATTGTACTGATTCCTCTTTTATTCTTAAACCATCATTCTCTTTAATTACAAAACATGGAATATTTAGTCAACCCCACTTGGATTCTATTTCAGTCAGATTTAGTATGTGTATATCTTTTCCATTAACAAAACTTACCTTTGTATATTTCATTTTCATATGTTCAAAAGTTATTGCTTAAGTCTTACAATATAACATTAAATGTATAGTGTATAAAAGGGCAAGTTAAATAGGATAGTTTGCTTTCATGTGTATTCTTAATCATTCAAATTGTGATTTTCAAGACACATCTACTTTAAGTTTTAAATTCCAGCTCCAGAATATTTCTAGGGTGATAGAGTTAAACCTCAAAACTAGGACTTATTTTATTGCACAGATACAGACTGATATACAAGTGAATAGCTCTCCATCCACAATTTTCACTAACACCTGGGCTGATGCCTAATCTGCGTGCCTAGTCACTGGTCTCAGTGAGTTGTGCAGCTGCTGACCAAGCCCTCTACTCTATGTATTCCAGGGCTCCACAGCTGTTGTCATTTTAATAAAACTGTACTCTAAGGATTCTGGTAAAACTTATCCCCTCCTTCCAAGAGAGTCTACTCTAAGTGTTATGATTCCATAGAAACACAAAAAGCTAAATTATAGAAATGCATTTGGTTAGAATCTTTATTAGTAACCCCTTTTACTCCTTACTTATACTGCAATATGGAACAGAAAGTGAAGGTCAGAGACTCAGTGCCAGGCAGTCACCTACACTTGCACCTCAAAGCTCAAATTCCCAGCTATATGACCTGACATTAGGAAACTCTCTGTATGTTGGATTCCTTATCTGCAGAACAAGGTTATGGAGCATATCTACCTCACACCTTGTTGAGGAACCACACACAGGCAGACACATGTAAAGTTAATGGGAATATGATGGAAATTTCAAAATATTCTTTTCTCAGTTACCATTCTTACCTAGAAGGCTCAGAGAATGGTGTATGCTAAAGGGCTAAAAAAGCATTAACTGTTATTCAAGGCAGTCACCCCTAACCAATTCCAATTTTGGAAGGAGCCAATATCCCAGCTGAGAAATCAAATCCCATGACTTAAGCTCCTCTTTTTACTATGAAAGTGTATGTTTCTTTGTACATTTGATTTTGTACAAAGCTGGATCTTAGGTAACCTTTTGTGACTTTCCTGCAATCTCTCCATGCCCCAATTTGAAGTGAAAGACAGTTGTGTGTGAGGAGCAATGGACCTTAGGATGGGAGTTACCATTTCTTCCCTTAGCCTCAATCTTCCTTTCTTTAACTTACAAATGAATCCTTCAGAATTCCTTACTGAAGTAAGCCATGCCAATGCTTAGGGCCTTCTCACTCTGGCTTAACACATTCTATTGTCAAGTTTTAGGAATAAGCCATGATCTTTCTCTAGTTTCAACGAATAAAGAGCTTTCCTTAGGCTTTATGTTTGTTCCTTATGGATATATTTTAAGCAGTGGACTTCAGTATAGTAGTCATATGATACTTCTTGGTGTCAAACATTGTCTCACTTCTTTTGGAAGAAGAATTAACATCCCTACTCTTAGTTCAGTTATGAGTTTTAACCTCCAAATCTGGTTTTCAAGGGGGCTCTATGTTATCCAATACATGTATCAGGAGTTGGGCTAAGCTTGAAATTGTTGGGGTCCATTCCATGGAGCCTTGTCCATGCTAAAATAAGAGTGTTAATAGCACAAACACCAATCTCCAGAGTAGGCTGACTAGCCTTTTTTCTCTGCAGAAACAGTACTGATCAGAGGTTCCTAAAAGCTGTAATGGGTAGTTCCTCAGCACACTAGAATGGGGGAGTGGTAACACTACCACCTGTCTGGAATACTCTTCTCAGATAAACTGTACTGCTATAGGAAGTGATCAGAGCTCTGAGCCTTCTAGGTAAGAATGGTAACTGAGAAAAGAATATTTTGAAATTTCCCATATTCCCATTAACTAGATCACTGGCTTGAACTTTTCCCTTAAACTTCAGGGAGAATGACATTTGAATTTTAGTCTACACTAAATAGATGCTTACGCTGTCAAAGTTATATCTAGACCATAAATTGGTAATAATTTTTTTACCTTTGACTTTTCAAAAATATATCCTTTCTGGACATCTTAGAATACTTCCAAATTTCTTCTGCTGAGAAGATTTGTCCTTTATTTTAACTTAAGATCCATTTAGGTGTGAAATAAAGGATCATGATATTAGGACAATAGCAAGTAATAGTATTTATTTTGCCAAGTACATTTAAAAATTTGCCAGCTCTACAGCTGCCCTCCTAAGTTCTACCCACTTCTCCAATGCCAATGTAATAATTTTCAGGCAGTCTCACAAGTGGATGGCAAAGTTATTTGAGTAAAAATTGTTTAGCACCACAGTATATTCAGAATCCCCAAAATATAATTCCACAGATGAATATAATAATTTCAAAGTGTAAAAGATTCCTTTACAATATAGTGACCTGAGTTACACCACCAATAGTTAAGTGATCAGTCTAGCACCACCAGTAATGGGACAAACCAACATTCCATATATACACTACCTGAGTGAAGAAGCAGGACATGTACCCATGTAATAATTTTTTTCAAAAATGTTTTACTTGAATCAAATCATAAAGAAGCAAACAGAAATCTGGGATACTAATAAGACAACTGGCCTAAGCTGCCAACAGGGGAAAAAAAGCCTAATTCATAAAATGTAAAAGACATGAAGAGGAGTGTATTTTTAATTAATTAGTTTAATTAAGTATTTATTTTTTTAATTGCATTAATATTTAAGTGTCAGGTATTCATCACTGAAGTCAACGTGTGCAGATACTATTAAGTTCACCATAAATAGTCTTTTTTTAAATATTAATAGTCACTGACCTTCAAAAACCTACACAGCAGATTATATAAAATCCCATTCCCAGACTAGTGATAAACACATGTCCACTATTAAAATTTATATATACTTATATACATCATACATAGAAAATTTTTCATTTTAAAAATAACAGATTGACCTTAAGTTTTCTTTTCTACGGTTTTAATTAAAATAAAATCGATAAATACACCACACAGAAATGTTACAAAAATACAAAAGGGTTATAGGCAAACAAAGAATAACGAGAATTCTTTTTAAAAGAGATACATGATAGGGAAGAAAATGAAAGTTTTATACACTATTTATGCGTTGATTCTAAACCAGAGCAATAAAAGCTTTCCGAACATTGGCAAGAAAAGCTGAAAAATTGTTGGTCTTTCTTACATTCTCTTGAAATTCTGCTAAGCACTCAAGATGAGGAGAACAATCTGACACTAAAAGGAGAAAAAAAAGACAATTTGAATGAGAATGTTTTATGGATGAGAAGTATTTCTAATTTAGATACTCTCATCTGATTCAAATCATTTCACTTCAATTCCACTTTACTGAAATGCTTTGAGCTCTGAATGATAAATATACTTGATTTTCATATCCTAACTATCTTTAGGACCTTTCCTTTGTTTAATCTTTAAATATTCATATCTTAAGTACTATAATCTTGCTTTAAATTTAAACAGATGGTAGTTGAAGGATCAAGGAGCCTAGTGACATAGGAAAGAATGCCATTTCCCTCCATGTTGTACTGTACCTTTTAACACTGTCTAAGTATTTAAACTATTTTAAAGGTTTTTTCCCAACTGTTAAGTCAGTTTTCTCTGCAAAATTTTGACTTGATTTCTAGTTTCTGATCACAGGTTAACCCCTAATAACTTAAAATTATGGAAAGTGGTATTTTCACAAGTGAAATGGAGTTAGAAAATGTGGTTGTTACTCAAACTACAGGACCTGCTTATCAATAAGACTCAAATTCACAAATAGCAAGCATGTGTAGTTGTGCCAGCTGATACTTGTTCTCATTTTGTACATCCTGTAGCAAGTCTCTAGGGAGGACAGGTCAAAGGAAATGGATCATTTTCTATCATTATTCCTGTTCTTTGTCCAGGAGGAAGAAATATGACAATATCAGATTTCCTGCTCTTTGGTAGAGATTGCTTAGAAAATAAGGCCCATTACAAAAAGAGAAAAACAACAGCAAAGAGAATTTGGCTCAATATTTATATTACAGGTTCTTTTTAATACACTATCAAATACTATGAGACTGTGGTGTAATAAAGAATATCCAATTTGGACAAAATTAAAAAGCTAGGTAAAATGTTTTGGGCAGTTTATTGTTTAAAAATTTAGCACTTATCAGAAGATATTTACTCAAAGAGAAAAGATTCCTAAAATAAAAATCCCATTTGAATAGGAATTGCATCACCTGGGTACATTAAGGAGCTAACTCAGCAGTTTATCTGAGTGTCTGACTGCTATAAAAGCCTTAAGATGAAAACACAGGCCCAAAGAGCTGAGAACCATTTTCTGAATTCCGATAAATTAAGGATTAGTTTAGTAGGGACATCAGATGAATAAGAACTGTATTTCCATTCTTTTCCTATTCACACTATTATCAATCATATATATAATTCCCTATAAATCAAAGACCTCTGAATTGCTACAGAATCACCCACTAAGCTAAATTATCAACTTCCAAACGTGTGGCATTTTCAGGATAGTGTAATTTCGAAGATATTTTATTTTGAGTAAAATAAATGATGACATTCTGATGATTTTACATTTGACTTTAAAATCAAATACTCAGATAAATTATAATATTCACATTTAAGTAGCCATATCCTTCATATCAGTTTAAGTTCTCGAAAGGATAATTCACACTTGCTTAGGAAAAGTAGTAACTATTGGTGTTTTAGACATTTCAGCCACTGTAGCCCTGTGCTATACTGACAAGAAGTTACTAAGTTTCTCAAATAAGATTTATACGTGAAAACTATACATACTATTGTATTTAGAAGAGAACAAGACCAGAAAAAAAAGTAATAGCTGTGGTAGTATTACTACCTTCATATTTATATTCTGATTGACATAACATTTTGGAATACTAATTCAAATACCATGTAAGGAACAAGGATACCTTCATAGTCTCTTGCTTCATTAAGACGCAAAGAAAACATAAATGGGCTCTCAGGATTCTTTGGATCAATATTTGTGAAAATAAACTGTAATTTATCACCTGAAAAAAAAGATTAAATTATTTAATATGAGAACATTTAATTGTGGCAAAGCTTTCAATGGAGATGAGTTTTATTACTTCTATCAATTATTACTTCTATCTCAAATGCCAAGTACATACAGTCACTAAACCAACATCTCCAAGTGTACAAGTTACAAAGATTTTGAAAATGTATTATCGTTTAAATGACACCAAAAATATTAGCAATAAAAGAAAACCATAAATTGGATATCATAAAAATTAAAAACTTTTGTCCTTCAAAGGACACTATCAGGAGTGAAAATTCAACCCATAAGAATAGGTGAAAATATTTGCAAATCATAATATACCTAAAATGACAATAAATATATACTGAGTCCAAGAATAAATAGTTCAGAGCTGGACATTACATTTTTCTTTTTCTTTCTTTTTTTTAAGATTTATTTATGTATGCATACAGAACTGGGGTACAGGCCAAGGGTGTAGGGGTGGTGAGAGGATTCACCAGAGACAGAGTGGGGAGCAGAACAGGCAGATCAACAAAGTACACTGCTGAGGGGAGCAATGGGAGGGTCAGGAGTGGTCTGCGGCGCCATGTGGATCACCTCTCGGTCCAAGGATCGAACCTGCACTAAAGCGGATGCAGCTAGCTTGCAGTGTTGCGTGTTGCGTGTTGCAGTGTTCCTAACCCACTGGCCACCAGGGAGGGCCAGAATCTTACATTTTTCTAAGCAAAAGATTATCCTCATTAAAAACTAAAACACCAGACTGACAGATGTGTGGATAAAGGACCCACAGACATTTTAGAAAAAAACTATAATTAGTAAACAAACAGAAAAAAGGTCACTTTTTCATAATCGAAGAAATTTTTTTTTTATAAATCAAAAACTTCAATCATAGCTAGTAAATTATCAAAATCAAAATTTAAAAAATTATAATTCTGGCACAAATACAATGAAATGGGCACTCTTGTTCATTGTTGTAGATAGGTGTAACTAAAACAGTTAATATAGGAGGCCTGAGACCGCTAACCTAGGAACCTTGGAAAGCCTGTTTGCAAGGCTGGCTTTTGGCTGGTATGATAAAGTTCTCCAAGATCACCCCAGGTTTCGATTCATTAGGACTCAGAGGACCCTGCATACAGTTTAATGTGGGGCCAGTACAGTGAAAGGAAAGACCAAAGATCAGAAAAAGGAAAAGGTACAGGGGGTAAAGTCTTGGGAAAAAGTGAAAGTTCCCAGACCCTCCATTCCTCATAGACAACACTACACAGGGATTGTCACAATGTGAAGTCAAAGAAATTAAGCACATCCTAACTAACTCCATTCCCTAGGATTCCTGGAAACCTGAAAGGCTTGTTTTCTCTAGACTTTGCCCATCTGCCTTTGTGTCTGGGCTGATTTTATTTTGTATTCTTCCATTGCAATAAATCTTAAAGTCTTGGCCATGAGTTTAAGTGCATGCTGAGTCTTGTCTTTCTAGCTAAACAGCAAATGAAATGGTGATCTTGGGAATTCCCAGCACAATAGGTATCCTTGTAAATTGGCACAGATACACAGAACAGCCATAAAAATGTCTCTATACATTTTTTTATTTATTTTTAATTTTTTTTAAAGATATATTTATTTGTGCATACAGAACTGGGATACAGGCCAGAGATGCAGGGGTGGTGAGAGGATTCACCAGAGACAGAGTGGGGAACAGAACAGGCAAATCGATGAAGTACACTGCTAAGGGGAGCAGCGGATGGGTCAGGAGAGGTCTGCCACGCCATGTGATCACCTCCGGGGCAGGTGGGAATCGAACTCATGCGGAAGCAGCTTTAGATTCTCAGTGCTGTGCTTTAACCCGCTGCGCCACCAGGAAGGGCCAAAATGTCTCTATACATTAATTCAGTAATTCCTCTCTGGAATTTTCTGGAAATTATACATAAGAAATGGAGAAGCCTACGTTCACTACAGTATTTCTAAAACTGAAAAACTAGCAGAATAAAAATTCTGTGTTAGAATTAATACATTTAGGGCCCTCCCTGGTGGCACAGCGGGTTAGAGCACAGCACTGGGAAGCTAAAGCCACTTCTGCATGAGTTCGATCCCCGCCTACCCCAGAGGTGATCCTGCATGGCAAGGCAGACCTCT